CCCCATATGTCCAGATTTGCCTGGACGCTGCCTTTAACTCCAAAACGGCTAAATCATTAGAAAGAAAAGAGAAGATTCTCTTGCAAAATCTAACCTTGATCCCAAAGGCCTCGCTAAACTCTTCAGACTGTGGTAACCGCCGGTTCCACACACGTTGGCATAATTCATGAGCCTCCTCCGGTAACGCTAAACAAAATGATGATAGTAACAGCCCTAGGACATAGAGAGATATAATGTAAAGAAATCAATGATTCTTCAACATTGCACAAGCAAAAAACTCACGAGGGAACTCGTCCTTGACCTTCGGCTTCCTAGCAGGAACTCTAATGCCAATGATTTCGAGGTTTTTCCGAATTTCTTCCTCAGCGACCTCTCTTCTGTACAGTCCAGCAAGGCTTCGTATCCTTATCTCCTCTCTCAACGCAAATTCCTTCTCTGACTTCTCTCGAAGCTCATCTTTGAACCTTAAACAAAGGACCATAGAATAGCACAAAATCATCTATAGACTTTCTACCTCTGATATATGCTACGCGGTGTCGGATGCTGGCTGATGGTATTCATCCTACTCAAAAGCTCGGTAAGCTTTTCGACACCAGAAGATCGGGTGCTCATAGGTGTTTCTGATCGTGAACTGAAACTAAATTGAGATTCAGGAAGAATTAATCAAAAATATGACAACCATCTAATCCTGACTATACCTCTGATACTCGGATTCTGTCTCGACCCGAACATCGTCAGTCCTACTGGATCCAGCCAATGAATGCTCACTTTCCCCATTTTCACTATAACTACGCAATGGGAAACAAGAAATATCTACTGGGCAGCGAATTATCAATACCTAGGTTGCTCAGACGACGACTGCCGTTCAAAAGATTTGTTTGCTTTAGTAGTCTCGCTTTCGCCTTCCCCTTCGTGCAACTTTTTCTTTTCATATTTCTTCCGCTCGATATTTTCCAAAACTCTCCTAATTCTCACTTTTGCATCGAGGCTGTCCTCAACGCGACGACTTTTGCGAAAAGGTCTAAATGAACATATTTGCAACTATGAAAACAACTTGTGCTTCTCAAAAAAAAAAGCATTTACTGTATACTGGGAGTAAAGATGCGAAATTGGAAATCGCCTAAAAGTGTGAAAATGCTGTGAATGTTCACAGCAACAATTGTTCAAAGAGTAGGAAGACCATGAGGGATGGGATTTTCTCAGCTCACAGAAGAATGCATTAAGAATTCAAAACGAAATGAAGTTGTCTCATTACCGAGCATCACAATAATTGGACGAGAGAACATCCAAAGCACTTACTTTCGTTTATCCATCGTCAAACTTGATTGGAATCCATTCTGCGCAGGATATTCTACTATATTGCCCATCTTTCCAATCAT